ATCCACATTTTTACAGAGAGTGGTAGGGAGGGAGAAAGACAGAAACTAATATGAGAGACATCAAATGGTTGTCTCTTGCTGAATCCCTGACCAGGGCCCTGGATTAAGCCGGCAACCCAGGTATATGCCTTCTATTGGAATCCAAACTGGTACCCTACAGTCTGCCTGCAGAAGCACTACCCACTGAACCAAACCAGCATTTTTTTTTCCTTTTAAAGTCCTCCTCTAAGGATATGTTCTTTTATTGATTCTAGAGAGAGAGGAAGGGAGAAGGAAAGAGAAAGAGAAACATTGATTAGTTGCCCAAGCACTCTGACAGGGATGGAACCCACAACCTGTGTATGTGCCCTCACCTGGAATCGAACCCATGGCCCTTTGGTGCATGGGAGGACACTCTACTGATTCACACCAGCCAGGGCCTGGAGATACATTAAAAAATTTTTTTCAGATCTGCCCTGGCCAGGTGGCTCAATTGGTTGGAGTCTCAACCTGTACACCAAAGGATTTCCTGTTAGATTCTAGGTTAGGGCACATACTTAGGTTTAGGTTAGTTCCCGGTGGGTCAGCAGGTGCAGAGGCAGCCTACTGGTATTTCTCTGTCACATGGATGTTTCTCTCTCTAGAAATCAATTTTAAAAACATCCTCAGGTGAGAATTAAAAATACATATATATTAAAAAGTTTTCAGCTCTAAAATTTTATTTGGTTCTTTTTTAAATTTTATTTTTCATTTACAGTTAACATTCAATATCCTATTCTATATAATAAAACCCTAATATGCAAATTGACAGAATGGTGGAATGACTGGTCGCTATGAACTGACCACTAGGGGACAGACGCTGAACATAGGAGCTGCCTCCTGGTGGTCAGTGTGCTCCCACAGGGGGAGCGCCGCTTAGCCAGAAGCTGGGCTCAAGGGTGGCAAGTGCAGCAGCGGTGGCAGGAGCCTTCGCAGCGGCACTAAGGAGCAGTGAGTTGAGCGGTAGAGAGCAGCAAGCAAGCACGAGGGCCCTGGACCAGTTGAGGGTTCCCCCACCCCCAGTGCATGAATTTTGTGCACCAGGCCTCTAGTTTTACAGATGAGGAATCTTGAGGCTCAGAGAAGTTGAGCAATATGTCCAAAGTCTTTTTGTTTAAGCAGCAAAATGAAGTTTTGATCATAGGTCTATCTGATGTACTTTTTTCACCATAGTAGGATATGGACTTTTGATGACAAAAAGACATTGCAGAGTTTTACTATCAATGAAAAATGCATATCCAAAAGATTTTAAGGTATTGCAAGGTGAATAAGAATGATTAAAGCTGATGTCAGAAGGCTTGTGTGTTTGTAGGGAGGGAATAGTATGCTTCTACATTGATAGTGGGCACAATAATTGGTTTATTCCCTTCAGGAATGTAATCTGGCAACATGAATAGACACGTAAGTTCTTTATAGAAGAAAAACTGGAAAATCTCCAATGCATAACACACAGTTAAAATTATTATTTTAATACATTTTTTTTTTAGAATATATTTTTATTGATTTCAGAGAGGAAGGGAGAGGGAGAGAGATGGAAACATCAATGATGAGAGAATCATCTATTGGCTGTCTCCTGCACACTCCTACTGGGGATTGAGCCTGCAACCTGGGCATGTGCCCTGACAAGAAATAGAACCGTGACCTCTTGGTTCATAGGTCAACACTCAACCACTGAGCAAAACTGGTTGGGATAAAATTATTTTTATAAGAAAAATAAAGCATCATTATAAAAATCCCCAGTGAGCAAAAAGGCACAAAGTAGAAAATGAAACTTACCTCTTTACCCACCTCCAATACCCAGTCCTACTCGCTCAAAGGTCACTTACCATTGATAACAACTTTGTGCATATATTTCCAGTGCCTGTTAATTTTGAGTGTCTAATAATGTGTAATGGGCTAAGCCATCATGGTAGAGTAGCACAACGAGAAACTGTTTCCTGGTAGTGAGTTTATGAAGCAAGGTTCTGTAAACATTACAAAACACAAGGATAACACACACTCATTGGAGTTACATAAAAGTCAGCTGCCTGCACAGTGATAAAAATGGGAAGAGATTGGCTTGATGGTGATAGCTGTATTTAACGTGCTCAAGGCTGCCTTAGTTCACAAAAGGGGGAAAAACACTAACACACCAAGTTGAGAGGGAGACAATCTTAGACCTGAGGCATCTAATGTGGTAGAGAGAAAACTGAGCTGGGTGTTGGGCTGTCCTTCCCCATTTCTAGGCCCCGATATCTTTATCTATAAAGTAAGGGACTTCATTAGATGATCTCTAGGGACCAGTCCAATGCTACAAAATCTGTGCTTATGTGACAGATTAAACATTAGGGCTAAAAAAATATATCAAATACTATAGAAAGATTGAAAAAAAGGGCATTCTTCCATGGGCTTCACGGGATTGACTGTTGAACTTCATTACAAGGAATGATCTCTGTAGGAAGACACAGTCCTTCATCTCAAGAAATCTAGAGTCTGGTGCTCCTTTATGGCTGACTGAAACAGCCAATTGGATAGAGACTTGAAATAAAGTAAGCTGAAGCAGAAGGCCAGCCTACTGCTTTTTTTTTTTTTTATAAGAGAGCTGGAAATCATTTTACCATTTCCTCCCGCAGTCCCTCTGCACATCATTGATATTGTTAGACAATCCCACTTCCTTCCTTCTATGGACCTTCATCTTAATTCAGGATCTTTTTTTTGTTGCTTTTTTAAATTAAAATTGTTTTTCTTTATTAATTAAGGTATTACATATGTGCCCTTATTCCCCCATTGCCCCCCCTCTTATAGCGGCGTAGTATTTCATTGTGTAGATGTACCACTGTTTTTAATCCACTCATCTGCTAATGGGCACTTAGGTTGTTTCCAAATCTTAGCTATTTTAAATTGTGCTGCTGTGAACATAGAGGTGCTTATATCCTTTCTGATTGGTGTTTCTAGTTTCTTGTGATATATTCCTAGAAGAGGGATCACTGGGTCAAATGGGAGCTCCATTTTTAGTTTTTTGAGGAAACTCCATACTGCTCTCCACAGTGACTGCACCAGTCTGCATTCCCACCAGCAGTGTACGAGGGTTCCTTTTTCTCTGCAATTCAGGATCTCTTTTGGTTTGGAAGTTTCCCGTGCCCTGAGAGCCAGCCCAAAGGGTTAGGTTGAATTGAACTTGTTAAATACCTATAGCATTCAAGGCCCTGTGCTAAGAATTAGGGCTGCATTATGACTGCTGGCAAGCTTTGTGCTTTGGAGGGGAAGCTTCTTCAAGGGTGTAGGGATTTGAGGGATTTGGAAGATCCAATTGCCTGACTCATTCCTTTTTTTGACTTTATTTTACACTAGAGGCCTGGTGCATGAAAATTTGTGCACTGGTTTAGGGGAGGTCCTCAGTCTGGCCTGTGCCCTCCCGCAGTCCGGGAGCCCTTGGGGGATGTCTGACAGCTTAGGCCTGCTCCCCGCAGACATCCCTGTGGGAGTGCACTGACCACCAGGGGGTAGCTCTGGCCCTCCCCTCCCCATCCCCTGCCACCAGTTGCCACCCCTCCCCGATCACCGCCCCCTCCCTCTGCCTGCTGGCACCTGCCTTGGCTGTCCTGGTGCTTTCCGCTTGCAGGCCCTGCCCACCGGTCATTCTGCCAATTAGTCAATTTGCATATTAGGCTTTTATTATATAGGATACTACCTATGGCTGCAATGAAGTGAGTCTGACTTTCAAAAACAATTTGCGAAATCAGCCTCATTACTTTCTAGTCACACTTTTAGGTCTCCCTGAGTAAAGCGAGCAGATCACATGTTCTAGTCACTTTCTTATTATTTTCCTATGAACAAAACTTGCCTCCCAAGTAAGGGTCTGGAAGAAAGTGAGTGTGTACGTATAGGCAGTGTGTATGTATGCATCAACATCTGAGCATGTGAATCTACAGTCCAAAGACCGGTCTCAAGTGATCTTTGCATTAGTAACTCATTTCATTTCAGCTCCACTTTTTTTCTCCTCCACTTGTGGAGATAATGGGAAGTTGACTAGTTTGAATCCCAATCAAAAGTGTTAGAAATGGACTCCAGAAGCAGGGCTGTAACCGCTACTGTTGTGCGCTGCCTTTATCTAGAGGCCTTGAACAGAAGTCTGCTTGTCTTTCTCTGTGTGCTCTTTCTTTTTTCTGTGAAACAGACTTGGGAGTATGAAGACCGTTGGGTTCACTACACAAAGTTGGTAGAGAGGAGAGACCTGATTCACAGCTTCCACTACATCTACTCTGTACGCTGGAGTGTCCCAACTTCTCAGATACCCACGGCATACAGCTCTGCCTTTGCCTTCTTCACCGTCAAGTTCAACAAAAACAAACCTCCGGTAAGCTCTTCCCTTTATGCCCTGCTCCCTTTAGTGAGACTTCAATGAAAATGGAGACTTCTCTTGTCAATGTCATTGATGACCCCTTCTTTGTAAAACTTAATAGTCATATTTCTGTTCTCATCCCGCTTGGCCCATCTACACTTGCCATAGCTGATCACTCCCTCCTTCATGAAACAAACATTCCATTTGGCTTCTAGACCAACATACTCTTCTGGTTTTGAGGCATTTGGTCACTGAAATGAGTGACTAATGACTAATGCCTCACTGACCATTCCTTTTCAGTTTCTACCAGTTTCTCCTCTCACCAATCTTCATATTAGAACGTCCCAAAACTTAGGCCTTGGACCTCTTCTCTATACTCACTGCCTTGATGATCTTATCAGTCTCCTAGCTGTAAATGGGTCACCTCTAGCTTATGATTCCCAAATTTATGTCTCCAGCCGAGGCTTCTGCCACTTGGATGTTTAAGAAATATCTTACTTATTGTAACCAGAATTGAACTTACAATTTTTCCTTCCAAACCTTATCTGCAGTTTTCCTCATCTCAGTTGATGCCAAAATCCTTGGCATCATCCTTAACTATCTCAGACCCCTTATCCAATCCATTAGGAAATTGTTGGCCCTACGTTCAAAAACAGGTATTTTGTTGTTGTTCTTTAAACTTCCCCAACATTTAATTATAACAACAGCTACAAAGTCGACCAGGCTGCCAACAATGTACTGTCTCTTTTAAGGGGATTCCTGGGGCCAGTTCAGTTTACACAAAGAAATTCCTGAATCCAGGGAGCAACAGTGATTGGGAAACAGCATGCACAGGAAGGGAAGCACTTGCACCTGGAGGGACAGGTCATGGGCTCCAGGGTGGAGCTGTTCCAGTGGTCACTGCGCTGACTCAGTACCAATGTCTAG